TTAGACCCAATTTCCATTAATAAATCTACTTAAAAAATATATGGTTGTTCGCATTCGACTTATGGTTGATGGATATCGCTGGTTTTTGTTTGAAGTAGACGCCATTTGGAAGTAATCACGTCCTTTATCAACATGCTCTCTCAGTTTTCCTAATAAGTGAATTAACATTGACATTTGGAACCTAACATACACGTTCATTAGTTTCTTTTGACTTTTTTCATTTTAATTATAATTTTCTATTATAGTTGAAAATTTTCGGGTATTGATCCACTAAAATAATTTTCTAATAATATTTTTTTACCCCGAATTCTATTATTTGGCAAAATCATTTATAGTCGTAAGTTAGTTGGCTCACAATTCACAATAATATTGTGCCGTGAACTTTTATTATTTTTATTATTTTAAGCATGTAGACACAAGTCTACATGCTTGGAGCGACGATGTTTAGGGTCACGTTTGCGGGTATTTAGTGTTGAAAAAGTCGATTAAACGTAGTCACAACGAAGTCAACGTTTTTGAGACGTCATTTGCCTGGGGAAGTCATTTATCAATGCTGGAAGCAAGCAAAAAAAAAAAAAAAAAAAAAGGAGCAGTGTTGTATAACTTTTTGCAACCATATACTAAGAAGTCAGCTTTGGGACTTGTGTAGAATTTCAAGTACTTGTGTAATTTGCAAAACTTTTTTTAACGTTTTTTCATATTTGAGGTGGCGTTTATAATTATGAAAAATATTATGTTAGACAGCTTGCGGGTACACATGACTGCAATAACTACTTAATTTGTGCCAACAGAGTTGTGGTGCGGCAAGAGGCGTCAAACAAGTGTTGTTTATTTGCATAGAACGTGCAATGATAAATATTTGTGAAAGTGATAAATGTCATGATTGACGCTTTAGCATCTTTGTTGAGAGCTGAGCAAAGTATCGCTTTTAATTCTCATGACAATAATGCATCTCACAGTTTAAAGCACGTTTCTGAATTTAATTACCGCTATAAAATGCACCCGTATTAAGTGACATAAATGTTCCAGAACATCTAACGTACTATGGTAGCACATTGTTCTCTGATTTCTCCTCCCCATGCCAAATATTTCAAAAGATAAAAACTACTATAATTCGTATCATAGTGCGACATGCTCTGGACCAGGCTAATGAGCTTGCGAAACCTACCATTGCTAAATGTTTCTAAAAGTAACTATAATTCGTATCATCGCGAGACATTCAAACAAAAGCGTAAGATCTGTAATGTAAAAAGAAGCTTGTGACTCCTGCCAAAACAAAATGCTTTTAAAGGTTACTATTATTATTCACATCGTCGCGAGACATTCAAACAAAAGCGTAAGATCTGTAATGTAAAAAGAAGCTTGTGACTCCTGCCAAAACAAAATGCGTTTAAAGACAAATACTATGATTTGCATCGTCGCGAAACTTTTCCTCAGACTAGGCCACGAGTTGTAGCTATCTAGCAGCTAGCGATGCGGGCCTCGTGCATGGAGTTGTAGGCGCAGGCAGCAGCGGTGTAGCGGGCGGTTCGGTCGCCACGGAAGTGCTGTAGAAGCGTCCGTGTGCTTGTGACGAAAATGGACACTAGTTGACGTCTTCCTGTGTTCACTGACATTTCTGTCGATACTTGTGTCCAGTGCTGCTGCCTTATACTCGGCTCATAGCGCGCAGTGGCGCGTTATCACTGACACGCATCTAATGCGCTTTTGTGGACAATACTTGGCAAGAAAATTAAGTTCCATAATTTTTTATGCAAGTTCCAAATTATGATGAAAATAATAGGCTGCACAGAGTAATGTAAAGTAAAAGTGACACCGCCGCTAGTCCCAAGTCATAGTTTCTTACAAAAATTTCATTAGAGTGGTCTGTATGAACGAATTTTTTATGCGCATATCAGTATACCAATACGGATGTGAAAGGAATTCCCTATATATTTACATCAAACCCGACCTGCTTTTGGGTGGGTAGATAAAAAATACTAGTCACCTCAGTCTCGGCTTCCTTTTGAAATTTGTCGACTAAGCTTAAACTGGCGGTGATAAACGACTGAACGTCAAATGAAGATAACCTCACATTCATGTTGGTAAATAGCTGAAGTTTCGGTGGTGGCGGGGCCTTCCGCCTGTCATGATTGCTCTGATCAGAAATAGCTGGTCCAGAGGAGACTCTCTGGCAGCTTGATGGCATAATGCCCGTAATTTCTTTAATATTCTATTTCCTCGACAAGGGCTCGACAAACGTCAATACATCTGTTGCGAAATTAAATGCACCTGCACGTCTCTCGTTCTCTAAATGATCCGCGAAAGAACAAATAAATGAAATTACTCACAGAGAGCTTATGTGTTGGATAGGCGTAGTCATCGCCTTTAGTTTCGAGCGTGGAATTTGAAGTGAGCTTAGTTTTCGGGAACGAGGAATTAAATTTTGTCTTCATTTACGTTAATTAGGGCATTTCAAAGTTGTAGCACTTGTAACAATATATGAAAACAAATCGTGTAATTATGAATAATTATTCATTCCGCTTTATATTGGCTCCTAATCTTTTCAATCTTTTTATGTGACCTTGCAAGCGATGCCTCTCAAAATATTCACCGTGATGGCTGATGGGATAGAGTATTGATGGTGGAAGCGCTCGAGAAAGTCGCTATCAAGGGAAAATTATCAGCTTGCTATGTACATACCTGCCCTTTTTGTATACAGGCTTGGACGTTCTTGATTTAGCCAAGTATTATAATTTCTGAAACGTTCTTCAAGCGTCCTGTGCTCCAGATAAAATTCCATACACATATTTATTTGAGACAAGTTCAGAGATGGTGAAATATTAACATAAATTATTTTGTAGTGCGAACTCCACTAAATATAGTTAATTATTGTATTAATTTTTCCGACGGGTTAAAATTCTTTATAAAAGTGGTCGCCGTGCTACTGTTGGTGAAGCTGTTTTGAATTACTTGGAGCAATACAGCGACTCCAGGAGCTGTGCGTGGAGTGCGTTATCACGCTTCTGCCACCGCGCTTACTTACCTGATGCCAATAATAAACTGATGCGCCCACGGCCTCCCTAATTATTTGTTCCTTGATTTTACGCTAAGTTCAAAATTGATTGCCGCGTTCGTTACTCATTTTTATTTATCTCAGCTTCGGTGTCCGCTGCTTGCTTCTCAGTGCATCCATAAATTTGAGCTTCTCAACAGGTGTTCAGAACACATTAGTTGAAATTAGTGTTCGTCGGAATCAATGCTTCACCTTGTCTCTGTCGGTCAAGTTTTTGTTGTGATGAAAACATGGCGAACGTTCTAGCTAGATGTTGTTAATTATCTTTTTCAACGCATAATTCGATCAAAAATATTGATCGATGAAAGATTTCGGTTTTATTTGGCATCATCCTACATGGCTTGCAATTCTTCAATTCTCTCCCGGTATTCTGTAAATCGTTTTCGGGGCGGTTCCATCCTCAGAATAACTACTAATCCTAAACTCTAATGTTTATTAATTGTGTGCGAAATGTCCACTCAACTCCATATGCTCCCATTTATCGTTCATCTGCCGGACGGGGTCACAAACTTATATGATCGAGCTCTTTAAATGGGCGATGATCCGACTTACCATGGCCCCAACATAATACTTCTTGATAGACCGTAAACAATGGTTTACGTATGAGTTATTATATGTGATGTTTTTGCTGGAGCATGCGCATAATCGCACAGGATAGCTCATCAATAATATTCGACGCATGTGTTATATTTGATATTATGTTCTGGCAAAGCCTGGGCGTAATTTCGCTTGATGGTCCATCAATTTAGATAAGTAGCAACTACTGAAGCTCGAGTTCCGTCCCGGAGCTCCGAGGTGTTGAGTGAGAATAAAGCTCGACTTTCGTGGTAGAGGCACTCGTGTAGATCTAGGACTTGGGGGGGGTTTTATGGTTTGAATGTTGGGGTTATATTTTAAATATTTTGTATTATTCAGTACTGAAGGCAGTGTAAGAATTGCATGTGAGATAAGGATTAGTGCAGAAATTCCATGAATCTCCGGACGGATTTGCGTCGTTGCGCTGGCGTTTGTACAATTTTTTTGCGTTTTGTTCACTCCTGATTAAATAGGACTAGACATGAAAATTTCCTGAAGATCAAGTTAATCGTCCTTTAATATAAACACCAATCATTTACAGACTTTGCGACGCTGTTCGATTTAGGGATGACCTGTGACCAAATCAGAAATATACAATTTGTTCCGTATTTGAAGCTCTTTGCTTGAACAGATTCAATTCTTAAGGCCTCTGACGTGCACCCATATACTTTTATTTTTTGCTGATTATCCATTAAAATCTTATGAGGTTTGCTCGTGCGTATATACTGAGAGCTCAAACACACTTGTGCCATGTGCGTTTACAGCTTCATGCAACTTCAGAAGTCATTTCAGTTATTCCTGCTATCTCCTTTCCGTCCTCTTCATGGCTCGGTAGCATCCAGTTTGATTTTCCAGGGTGAAGGCATCTCATTTGGCTAGTTTCAAATGATCCCTATTGTGTCGATTGTTACTGTTTTACTGTCGGTTGTTTTACATTTTAATCACTTGTAGATTTATATGTCCCTGCATGCGGATGTAAGTTGTATATTATTATCTATTATCAAATTTAATTTTATTATTGATGTATCTTTTTAAAATTCGGCAAAACATCTACCAAGGTACAAATTTTTCTAGGGAACACATTTTATTCAGCACTAGTTTTTTAGCTTGATAATGTATATTATTCATTCAGAGTAATGCTTCATCGGTATGTTGTACAACGATAAAGTATTTAATAACTAAGACTATTGCCTGTGATAATGTATATTATTCATATTCAGAGTAATGCTGCATCGGTATGTCGTGCAACGATAAAGTATTTAATAACTAAGACTATTGCTTGGTGTTGCAGGCACCCTCTATTACCGCTGCTGGCGCTATGTAACGATAAAGTATTTAATAACTAAGACTTATTTGTTTGGTGTTGCAGGCACCCTCTATTCCCGCTGCTGGCGCTAATCTTCGAGAAATGTGAACTGGCGACGTGTACACCGCGAGAAGCGGGCGTCGCAGGTGGCGACGTCTGCAGTTCTGAATCTTTCAATGAGGATATCGCCGTTTTCTCTAAACAGGTGAGTACCTTTGTTTACCTGCATAATTAAATGTTAATTCATATTAATAGTTTTCTCGGAGATTTTCTCTATTTGTTTACCTGCATAATTAAATGTTAATACATATTATAGTTTTCTCGGAGATTTTCTCTATTTTGAGATACCTGCATAATCAAATGTTAATACTTTTAATAGTTTTCTCATTAGGTTTTCTCTATTTTGAGAATTTCACTTTTTGGAGGATTTCAAAGTTCGAGTAAAAGGTTTCATATTGATGTTTAATTGCTCTCAGATGTTTTCAATTGATATTAAATTGCTCCTGCAGCAAAACTTCTGCCTAGCTATGTCAAAATGGTTATTAATATAGGCGTGGTTTTTTTACGGGTTGAAATGATTAATATTTCGGCTAGCTGGGACAAGAAAAAGGTTAATGGCACATGGTGTCACTAATGATTATTTACTTTCCGTGGCAATTATGATTTTCTGAATTCAATGTTCTGAATTAACTAGTAAAATATTCAATATTCATAATGTGAATGTTGCGATGCGGATTTACGTATATGTATTTTTAAAATTTTGTTTGACACTTGAATCGGCGGGTTAAAGTACGTGCGTAAGTAAGATGTGTTATTTATTCAACTTCAAGTTAAAAATTTCTGTAACACAATTTAGAAGTGAATGTTCTTCATGTATAAACAATACAAATAATGAGTTATATACCGGGCAACATTAATATTCATTATTGTTTCACACAACATTAGTTGTCACGTCACTGATTAGTGCTTGTTCGAGCTCTTGTACATCCGATCCTTACACGTGGGTGTGAAGCTCAGCGATCAAGTGTACATACATGTACATGCATATAAGCTTCAGAATATCATGTGTGCGTGATGATGGAGTCACGTGGCATGGACACTCAACATGAGGATATATTTGTAGCTTCATGCATGCTAGTGTCACTCTAGCCCTCACATCGGGGCGTCCTGTATTTTACTCTATGGATAGTGTGTGTGTATGACTGTGTGCATGGTTCGCATTAGCCATTCTCCATAGGTTTCACACAGCTTTGTAACGCGGTTAATTTTTAATTGAAATGTCAAGATCAAGTTGAATAAAAACCATGTATAAAAACTTGATCTACATGACGAACAATTTGAACTTTAAAACTCCTAATCAATTAATTAATTCATCCTTTCGTCATGAAATGGATTATTACTTTGGTTGGCAATACGAAGTATGATTCTGCACCTATAATTTGCTAACATGTTTGCACATGTCAAACCTCTCGTAAATCCTTACTAATTTTCTATTGTCGCTAGGTTCTCACATGTTTCTCCATTGCCCGTGTCTGAGTTGCAAAACACTTGTATGTGTAGTATTTTAAAATATATTAGTGTTCTTTTCCTCTGCGAATGTGACTGCGTTGATGTAATTAGCATGAGAGAACGTGCCTACAGTTGTTTTTCCTTAGCACCGCGCCTATGCTAAGATTCGTGTGTCAAAATAGTGTCTGAATGCGCGTCAAATTCACTTTGATATTGAGCGTGTGTAGGTGCAGCGAGAACACGATTATTTATATGTTCGTAGAATCATGTTTTACTCTGGCATCTTATCGTAGCTTCTTACAACACATTTACATTGTTTCACTAGTCTATATTTACCAAAAGTTGCCAGTGTTCCACCCAAATCCAAAGTCGATAACTACTAAGTATAATGCGTCTGTTACTAAATAAACCTCATTATTTCATGTCCTGAGAAATGTTATATTTTGAACCCAACTCGATAACATAAATGTATCAATTGTTAGGCAGAAAGATTTCGCAGTCTGTGTTTGAGGCGCGTCTAGGATCGGTTACACCCTAACGAGCTTTACGGTTTGCCGGCTGTCTCTGGGCCCATGAAACAAAGGAAAGCAGATATTTTCTCGGATTTGTGAAGGGAATTAAAGGTCGCGGGTGGTCATTACAGAGGCATGTCAGGTCACCAGTCTTTGGCTTGTCTAAACTTGCCCAATGCGATCTCAATACTTCAGCCTGATTATCTCACTTCATAAATCAGTCGGAGCTCGTCAGGCCTAATGACTTTGAAACCATGCTTTGTTTAATGCTTAACGGTCTTGTATAAACTGTCTTATATACCTATGTAGATATTTTTGCAAAAAAATATTTCTTGCGCATTTTTTCGAAGAAACAATGATAGTTTGCGCTCTTCTTGCTTCAACTGCATGCACCTCTCTTGTAATCCACTTTAAATTTGTTATTCTCACAACGCGATTGTTAATAGCTCTGCCACAGTTACTAGAACGAACGCTGTAAAAAGACATTGATTCAATTCAGATCATTTGTTGTATTATATGTTATGTACTGCACTCAGGATGTCTTCATTACAAGAAAAAAAACATGCTGCCTACCGTGATCGTTGAAGTTTAAAATAAATCTTTGAGTACGATTTGCCTTCATCCACTTTTTTAAAATAATGTTGTTAATGATTATTATTGTTAAATGTGCTCATGATATGCTTTCTTTGAATTTTAAATACAATATTAATGTTTGGTGTACTTGGGGCGGGTATTTCTGTACATTTAGAAGGATAGCAGTTGAGTGACCTGAACGAGTATCATTTACCGTAGGTCAGTCAGTCATAGGATGTCTCCCCGAACATGAGACGAACAACTGAACGCTGCGCTGGTACACAAAAGCGGCGTGTTCTTGAGACCTGATGGCGTGCAGGAAGCAGTGGCATGTGACTTCTAGACGGCGTTCAGGATCAGTGATTCGGTCAGGAACTCCCAACAAATAGATGAATTGTGGATGTTCTGAGAGCGCGTCTTGTTGCGGGTGTATGCATATTGGGTACACTAGGACTTTTTTATGAATGGATGCTGCATTAGGACTTTTTTATGAGAAAAATGGAAGAAATTTACACAAAACTGCTTAACCGGCTTGTTGGAGGATGCGTTTGTTATCATCCGGAGAGTCGTAGGTATTTTGTATAATAGTATACTTAATAGCTTCAAATACAAATTATTACATTTCTTGAACTTATCGACTCTAAGCGAATGGCCTGTCGGGACGTCTTTTGCCTGCCGGCGATCAAATATAATAATTGAAGCGACCGCAGTGATGATGACACGCATGCATAAGGTTCTATTAGTGAGGGCTTATATGGCACAGCATGATCCTTCCAACTCCCCTTCGCTGCCTTTGCTGCAGTCAGTGAGAACATTTAACCACCAATTCTTGATCCCTTTACAGCAATCCTCCCACTTCTGCCCTTGCAGTTGAACCCTTCTCCCCTTCTCACAACCACCATTATAGTTTTTTTTCTACCCGGAATCACGACGTGCCGTCACTACGAAGTCTCGTTCAAATATCGATTAACAATTTGTCTCTTCGATGTACCAAGCCCAGGCACCGAAATTTTAAAATCAGTGATATGGTTTAATTTGATAGTATTGATGATAAGTAGATAATCTACGTAGCATTGAGACATCAAGTGAAACAAATAGATGCGACATTTGTTCGCGAGCTGTCGAATGTTGCCGTAAATTTTTAATCTTTTCCCAATTTTTATCGTTTGTTAATTGAGTAGACGAGTAGATTGCTTGCGTGTCGTTTTTAATTCATATTTAAAAAACTAATAAAAATTAACGTACGAAATTAATCGAACAGAAATAATACCTAGACCGAATTTGATTACTTATTTTCATTTTACTTAGAGCGGTAAGTATTTGAAGTGCCTGTTTATCTTGCATGCTTCGCTGCATCAGATCAGGACATTGAAATTAGACATAATTTGATAGCAGAGATTTAGACCTTCCTTTGATCGCCTCATTGCAAATTATATTTGGCTGTTCTCTCATTTGGTATACGTCAAATATGACTTCAAAGATGATGAACGGTATGAGAAACTCCTAGTTTGTGGAGCCGGTTGACTTTGATGAAGCCATCATTCGTCATGTGGTGGCTGTCTCATGAAGGCACAATAATCAGCTCATGAGGGATCACACCGCGTCAGCCGTTACTCCATGACTGCCGCCGTGGCTCTTATATACCTGATCATTTTTTGTCCTTGGGAAACGGTCCGATCGCATTTGTCACATGTACAGAGCTCCTCCATTTTCTATGAGCTCTTTTATTGTGGCACATTCAATGAATGGAAGCAGCTGAACGCTGTAAAGATCTGCCTCGATGGAGACCCGCCATATCGCGTCGCTCGAATGCGCATTCCAAGCATTCACTCAACCCAGCAACACTCGACTCTTCTACTATTGCTCTCCCCTTGTAGTGAAATTCTCTTTTTTCCCCCTGAATTAGCTTTCAATTTATAACAATTAATTTTTAAATGATTTTTCGAAGTCGTTTTTTTTTGGTTCCTACCGTGAGTTCCAAGTTAGCTATTTACGATAGCTAATTTATTTTATTTACTTATTATTATGATTATTAATTTATTTATTATGCCCGCTTGTAAAAGCATGTTTTTAGTTCTGTGCCGCTTAATCTTGTTTTTTTTTTTAAATTGTCACTCTTGTCACTCTGCGTCTTTAATAATAAAATTAAAGATTTACACTACTACTATACAGTTTAATACAGTTTAATACAGTTTACTATACAGTTTAAAAATTTGCATTTATCAGCAGACGCTTCTTTTCAAGCACTTGCATAATGTACCGCGCCTATGCACTCTATCTTTATGTTTTATATGTCAATATTTCCTTCCAATATTGTCAAAATTATTCATAAGCTAGTAAATGTTTTTGTTGAAGTCATGTACGTGTAAAGCTTCGTAATTAAACGACGAATGGCATGCAGTATTAATGTTAGTTTATGTTCTTAGGGAAAAGTTTCGTAAGTTTTTGTAACTTGCTAAGTTGGCGGCGCCTCGATGTTTACTCCTGAACCCCCGCCAGCCCTCACCCATGGCACGACCCGCCCCCCCCTGATCCTCCCTACTCCTGCTGTGACTATGATGTCTGTACTATTGATCATTATTGATTCAAGAGGTGAAAGCCGAGCAAATTT